AGTTCCTGGAGGAGTAATCGAGGCTGAAAATCTGCATGGTGGAGCCTGATTAGAGCAAGTGGGTAGTCCAATCGACATTTGGGATCGTGAAGTATGGTGGTGTGACCCCATAAATCCTGGTGAATCTCGGCCGCCGCCCCGATCATGGACTCTGCGCTTCTGGCCGTGGAGACGCATTTATGGCCTTGATAGCTGGTGACCTAATATCTCAAGCTGCCAGAATTCTTATGAGAATGTCTACGTCTAATCACTCTGATCCTCATCACCAAATCCTGACTTCAATCACTACCCACCTTCCCTCGTGCATTAAATGCTTATTCGTGGTCAGTGGGTTTGCTGCTGCATTAAACAGGCGCTACTTCATTAAATGAAGCATGGGTCCCTGCTATCACGTGATGATTCGCCTTTAATGCCTTTGGCCGTGATTTTGCTCGGCCTCGGCCTCGGCCTGCACTTGAGGCCGAGATGATCATGCCTTAGCATTTTTCTCTTGTCTTCAGGAAGGCAAAGCACCCTGTTGAAACGCTGCGTTTCAGTTTTACGAGGAAGTGCCAGGGGCGAGAAAATGGGCTCCTTCGGCCAGCTCATGGCCGTGATTTATTAGGCACGAACAGATTGGCTATACAATTTTTTATAAAAAAAAATTAGAAAAAATCGTGTAGAGCCTTTTGGCTATACTATTTGAAGAAACATTAATAAAACCGAGTATAGCCGATCGGCTATACTATTTTTTATGAAAATAAAAGAACAGAGTATAGACGCGCGGATATACTATTTATAAAAAACAGCGATTAGCGCCTACGTGTCAAAATCAGTATAGCTGCGCGGCTATACTCTTTAAATACATTATATTTAAAAGGTATAGCCGCCCGCCTATACTATTTAACGAAAAAAATTAAAAAAACCGAGTATATCCGGTCGGCTCTACCTTTTAAATATAACAGGAATGAAGTTTGCAATTTTTGCCAGAGTGATTATAACAAAATCTCTCCCAATCGATTCACAAACGCCAGACAACTACTATGGGCTTCACCTGTTGACCAGCTCCATGCACTTGAGCAATACTTCCAGATGCTACTGGTTTCTCTTCAAAATCATCAAAACTCTCCGGGAGCTTGCGGCCAAATGCTCGTTCGATAGTTTTCTTCGTGTAGGCAAAGCTATGAGAGCTTGGTGCATAAAGAAAGAGCACCAACTATAAACGATTACGCCAATTCCAGTGCCACAAATCAAAAGCGATTGAATCATCAGAAAAATATATATATATTAAATAAAAAAATTCCTCCTAGGCGGCCTAGGCTGGTCTGGGCGTTTTTTTTTTTTCTTAAGATTTTTATTTTGCTGACTTAGGTTAAATTTTTAATGCTTTTGTAACCCCCAGTAGTAGATTTAAAAAAAATTCTTTAAATGATATTCCTAGTTGAAAACATCCATTTTCTATTTGGTGGCAATTTCTGACACGACCCAAAACACGACTCAAATCTAGCACGATTAAATTTTGTAGAGCTTAGTGTGTCCAAATCCCCTCTTCCTCGTATGTTTTTCTTTGCCATTCAGATCCTCTCCCCGTTGATAAACAGACTAAGTCAACAAAAGCAACGTGTCCCTTATCAAAAAGGATTACTAACAAACAGCAACAACTCAAACAATTAAACTCTAATAAACAAAACAACTAACAACTTTTATCACATTTCATATATGGTTAACATTCATACATTGTTTTAGAAAATATGAACCACCTTAGCAAAGCACATATGCAAAAGTTCTCTCTTGAAACTCCTAACAATTATCCAACGGCAAGTTGCGGCCATCAAATAACGGTCAGAATCAGCACAATCTTAAAGATAGGGAGTTGCGCCCATCAATTTACAGAACTCATGTGATTCATGTCACAGTTTCAGCCATTTTGGCTTAACAGGTTTTTTCTCTGCAGGCTTCTTCTCTTGAACAACAGGAGGTGATGCCTCTGGTATTGTTTCTGGTGCAGACTCAACAGGCTCGGCATGTTTAGTGAGGAGTTCCAAACCTTTCAAAGACATGATCTCTTCCTGAAGGAAGGGACCTGACTTGGCATCTGAAGCATCATCTGCTGGATATGACATTACAATAATCAAACATTTTACATTAGCCATTGCTATTTACAATCAAAAGATACATATCATTACATCAGTGAAATAATTTTTGGGTAAAAGTTCTGATTCCTCTGCTGTCACCCCAGACGGGCAACCCCATAATCATAGAGAAGAGTGTCTCCATTGTGAATATTTCATTTTAAGTTATGAGACCAAAAAGCATGTGCTAACCTTTTGGTATATTATATGAAAAATACACAATTGCACCAGGAACAAAGCCAGCAGAGTAAAAATCCTGTGACGTGTCTTTTATCTGCTTCTTAGGAGGAGTAGTATCTGCATAAGTAAATGTTAGACTCTATTGCATAATCATACATGGAAAATTCAATATTTTGATTTACTCTGCATACATATGTAGAATGGTAATTCTGGTCGAGCAACTACTTTCGTGAGGAGATCAACCAAGCTCTGAACTGTTTCTGATGGATGAAAAGTGGCCTCTAATGTGTGATTATCAGGAAATCGAACCCTGATCACAGTCTGCATACATCACACATGAACTTAACAAATGGATAAAAAGCGATTATATGACTAATTAAGATTTGGAATAGCTTATGCATCCGATGATGATGAGACAGAATTGATCCTATACAAACAACAATAGAAACAATCACTATAACAAGGAGAAAAGAAAGTCATAATAAAGGGTATAGCAACCACCTTAGTTATCCTTGACCTGCGGGCTGCCTGTTCTGCCTCTTTAAGCTTTCGTGTTTTTAGAACCTTATCTGTTCATATTGCATTAATGAAATATAGTAAGTATAAATACCATAAGAACACCTCCAATTGCATGTATCAGTATAAGTCTTTGAATGTGTAATTAAATTCCCAATAGTTTATCAAATTTCGTTCATGTTATTAAGTTTTTTAGAATAAAATACAGGCATTGACAAGACTTCCAATAAGCAAGAAGATTATGTTTCCCATTAAAATATTTGCTAGCATATTATAGAACTTGAACACCGGCCGCTACACGGGAAAGATTTTATTTTCCCCCTAAAATTATAAATGAGATGGTTTCAGTCAATTACCTTCCTTTTTGGCATTCATAATTCGATAATAATCCTCTGCTGTGAACTCAAAAAATTCATCTGTCTCCTCTGCCAAACAAAAAATGATGAAAAGAAAAAAATTTCTATCAGGCATCTCAATGCGCTTGCTTCCACAGATAATCCAAAATTTAAAAAGCTATAAGCTGAATGGTTTGGCCTAGCATAGTTGAATTGCTTCATACCAGTAATAGACTCTTCAGTTTGCGAAGAAGAAGCAGCTGACGTTTCAAAAACACGAATTTCTCTCCCAAACTTTTCTTTTGCTGCTGCGAGCTTGGCCTGAACTCACCCCGACAAAACGAAAAGGCAAAAGTAAATGTAATATCACAACATCAGGTAAAGAAGGAACCATCTAATGTTCAAATTAGAATAATCTCAATTCCAAAATTGGTACTTGGTACTTTCACCCTCCACACTCATATGACGGAATGAATAGCGGTGGTTTGTACCAATGATTAGTATATACTAACACAGTTATTACAATCTGTACTTGTGATTTTGTATTTAGTTACAAAGCTACTACGCACTGACTTCATTGAAGATTTGAAGTACAAGAAGCACATAAAGCACTTGCTCGGAATTGCAATGGGAACCAACAAAAACCAAAAATACCAAAACCTTGGCTGCACCAAATTCAACTCTTGTCCTTTTTAGTCTGTTGATGAGAAGTATTAATTTTCACAGAACCTCAAGCATAGGATTACACAGACTCTTGTTCTTGTAGTTGCAAAAAATAAAAATAAAAAGAAACATAAAAGAAACCAGGGAAGTTGCACTAGACCCACAACTTA